GTTTGTTTTTAAATCCACAAATTTGATCTAATGATATTTTAAGTTCCGAAACAGTTCATGTAGCTGAAGCACGCTGCTGTTTGATGAGTCCTAACACGTGATCAGTGTGAACGGCAGAACCTCACACATATTCATGTGTTTGAGATATTATTTGGTCCACATCAAAAATGGATTTTGAGACCAACTTGGAAGTTTTCTGAACATGGATGCTCTGCCTTTTCATTTCCAAACAGTATTTTTATCCTCGCTAAGCTGTGGATGGCAATTATGTCTCCATCACATTGGTCCAGATGGAAATATCTCCATCCTCATGATTTATTGCACCACTGTGAGGTTGTCACTTGTCATTTTGAGAATTAATTGACAAACGAGGGGGTTTTTAACGGTCAATACCAATATTTAGAGAGCACAGCAAGCGGTGGGGGATATATATGACGCTGGTATCATTTTGTTGTCCTTATTTTGCATCTTATAAAATTCTGAAATTTAATCATAACAAATGAGACACAACATTTCTGAACTCTGTGTTCAGATTCACATCTCTTCTTCACAGTTGAAGTGTTCGATGTGGTGAGGAATATCACACATCAAAGGAAACTGCACGACTTGACCTTTTTGAATTTACATCAGATTTGATCACAGGTAGCCTGCATACAGCTGTTCATCCCCACACCCATTAGTCTTCTCAGAATCCTTATCAGCTCATTGTTAATATCTAGATATAGAAAATACCTGTGCAATACAATCACTGCATAGATATGAGCATATCTATGATATATGTTAATATCATGTCATGAGAGAGAGTGGAAGTGGAGCTTTTATGTTAGAAACTTGTTCATATCAAAATAATAACGGTATGAACACCGATCACATTTCTGCAGCGTAATACCTTCACTAATTTCTTCATCCATTTTCAAACTTCTGCTTCTCATTCTTGAATGCTGAATAAGTCACATTTTATAGTGTATAAGCAGCAGAACTGAACCTTTCTGATGATACCAGTTGTTTCTCTGCAGTTTTTGGGCTGACTTTAAATCCCGCTTTGTATCGAAAAATGAACACAAAATAATGAACTTGCTTTTCTCTTGTGGTCAAAAGACGAACACAGGTCATCTGTGTAGAAGAAGACAGAGATGATCCTCGGCTCTGGAGGGCCCTGAGACATACTGGTCATTGGGAGCCTGTTGTTTGGAGGTGTGAAGCAAACACTCTAGACTGCTGTATGTTAATACTTTGGTGAATAAAACAAGAATTTCTAAGACACACGTCCTCCACCACCATGGTTCTGATGGAGCCACATTCCAGCCCCTTGATCTTGTACTTTGTTAATGAAAGTTGATCGAGAGTTAAATTAATTTTAATAATTCACCCTGAACCTGTTTCCAAGATGCCATCGTAGCCACGATGTTGCAGACGAAGCAGAGCCGAATCAGGAAACGATAGACGAAAAGACAAATCTGCCGCTTTATTGGATTTGGACGAAGCTTCATTTCAGTCAAAGGTGGAAGATACACAAGAGTTCATAACAGATCGGACACCTTTTGTTATTGTTCCTCTCTCCGACGTTGCCGTCGGCTCATATCGACGCCACACAGAGGAATACGTAGAGTCCAGTAAGACCAGACGAGAGCAGAAATGAGCAGGAAGGTCGGCAGCGTGGATGTTATTGTGGTCAGATGAGTAAACCGACGCTCGTGCGCAGAAAGAAAGATGAAAGGGTTTGTTTTGTTTTTTTGGGCAGCATTTTAAAGGAAGTGTTTCATATGCTGCTCCTGAGTCATTCCTCTTTCAGAGAGCGACGATATTTTATATATATTTAAATGGAAGCCACCAAAATGTCCTCTTGACCTACTTTTCACAATTCGCTGAACACATTTTCTATTCGGCTAAACATTTACTTTAAAAAAAAAAAGAAAAATCTGGCGTGGCTGCTGCTTCCACATGCACAGATGCACACAAACCACAAACACACACATGCATATACATACATATATATATACAGACACACAAAACCTCTCCTGTTGCCCCTCACTCTTCTTTTATGCTTTTTTTTTGTGTGTGTGTGTTGTGTGGAAGAATGCCCACGACCCCCACCACGATCATTACCCCCGGGGCCCTTGGGCATTCATCACCGCGTGCATCCCCCTCCTCACCCAGACATCCCCCTCCACCCCTCCTACACCTCCCCTTTTTGCCTATACTGCCCCCCTTTTGTTTGCTTCTCTGTGTCACACCATTAAACAAAGCTGGTTGTTTTGACGGGATCCAACACCACGCTTACTGTTTTTTTTTTTTTTTTACATAATCTCAAACTGCCTCATCCTCCATCCGAGACACACACATGCAGCGACGACGGAGGGGGAAGTTAAGCTCCTTCGAAATAACACAGATCTCTCTTGGGAAAAGAAAGGAGGAGGAGAAAAAAAAAAAAAAAGTGGCCAGAGTGGAGTGTGCGCTCCTATTGAGATCCAACACTCTCAGATGAATAGCAAATGACCGAAACCTTTTGGGAAAGACGGGGGAGGAGGAGGAGGAAGGAGGAGGAGGTGGAAAAGTTTTGGGAAAGGAAGGGAGGAGGTGAAAAAGATGTCAGGAAATGTGAAAGGAAAGCGTGAGAGGGGGAGAAGAGGGAGGAAGATGGATGGAAGTCCTGGGATGCAAATGGAGAAAGGAAGGAGCAACAGGTTTGAGGGAAAGTAGAAGAAAGGAAATGGAAACAGGAACATGTACAGGCGAGAGGACAAAATGTTTTCATGGAAGATTTCCGAGGAAAGTGTTGGAAGATTCCTCTAAGAAGGAAAAGAGAGAATGAAAGATGAGTAAGAAGTTTAAGAACAAGGGAAGGAAGAAAGAAGCATTTTAGAGGACAGAGAGAAAATGCCGATGAAAGAAGGAGGAGGACGAAGGAGGGAACGATGGAGAGAGATGAAGGAGAAGGCGAGGAGAGAATTAAACATCAAGGGGAAAATGAAGAAGAGAGGAATAAAGTTTTAAGGAATCAAAAGGGAGGAAAGTGGGCTAAAAGGTTGGAAGATAAAAAGAAAGTGACGAGGATGAGAATATCTCTGGAACAGAAGGGAAGAAGTGTTAAACGTTTGAAGAAAAAGGAAAGAGGAAGGGAAAGAAATGAGTGAATGAAAAGCAGTCTGGGGGAGAGGAAAGGATGGAGGAGAAATTCAGAGAGAAGAAGGAGGAGGGTGTAAAGTTGAGAAGAGGAAGAAAAAGGAAGCATCTCTGGAAAGGTGCACAGGAAAAATGGGTCAAACAGGTAGAAAGAAAGAAAAAAAGAAAGTTGTCGGCACCTTGATGCACAAAAATTTGTGACACACTTCAGGAAAAAGAAGGATGAACAGAAACAGAGGAGCAGAGAAGGAAAAGGGAAGAGAAGAAAGAGTTAATGAAGAGAAGGAGGTTAAAAAGTCTTGAAAAATATAGAAGAACGTGGGAAAGAAGAGAAGAAATATTTTAGGAGGAGAAAGAGGCAGGAGGAGAAAAAACTGAAAAGATATTTGGAAAGAAGATGAAAGGGAAGTCTCTGAATATGAAAACAGTAAGAAGGAAGAAAAGAACAAATAAAAGAGAGAAAGAAGCACCAAAGCGGATGTCTTAGTAAAAGGAAAAATGGTAAAAAAGTCTTTGAAGAGGGAAAAAGTAGGAAAAGTTTTTATAAAGGGACAATGGAGAGAACAAAAGGAAGAGAGGAATTAGAAGGAGGAAGAGAACGGTTTAGGAGAAGGAATGTGGAGAAATATCAGGAATTAGGAGGAGAAAACTTATTGGGAGAAGCAGAGAGGAGCAAGGAAAGGAAAAGGAGGATAAAAAGTCAAAACATTTGGAAAATGAGGAGAAGGAGAGGAAACGAGGACGACATAATGTATAAGGAGTAGAAAGAGGTGGAGGGAGAGTAAAGGAGGGAAAGGAAAGGATGAACGGAGGTGGAAAAATGAATATGTGGAGAGAAGAGGGAAGGGATGTCTAGAAACATGAAAACGTGAGGAATAAATTATGGAAAAGAGTGAATAGAACAGAAGGTCTAAAGAAGAGAGAGACGTTTTAGGGAAGGGAAGGATGAAAGAGGAGCAGTTTGGGGAAAAGGGGTGACACAGAAAGTAGTTCAACATGTCTGAAGAAAGGAAAAATAGGAAACGTTTTCAAAAAGGTTAGACTGGAGTGAGGAGGAGGAAGGAGATGGAGGAAGTTTTATAAAGGAACTGGGAGAAATATCAGGATTTAGGCAGAAAAAAGGAACCAGGAAATGTGCAGAGGATGATTGAAAAAAAGCTTTCTGGCAGGAAAAGAAGGTAAAAAGACCAAACTCTTGGAAAATGAAGATAAAGGTAAGAAGAAGGAGAGGAGAGAGGAGGATGGAAAGTTTAAGGTGGAAGGAGAGTAAAGTAGGGAAAGGGAGGGATGAAAGAGGAGAGGGCAATAATGTCTGGTAATATGAAAATTATGGAAAAAAAGAGAGAATAGGACAGAAGGTCTGAAGACAAGAATGAAGTCCTATAGGGAAGGGAAAAATGGGAAAGGAAGAGGAACAGTTGTAGGAAGAGGAAAGATCTGAACAGGAGGTGGCAAAAAGTCTGAAAAAAAGAAAAAAGTAGGAAAAGTTTTAGGAAAAGGATGGAGAGAGGAGGAGGAGGAGGAGGTGGGAAGCGTTTTGGGAAAATGAGGGAGGGAAGGGAGGAGGGGTGAGGATGGGGGGCGTGTGGGAGAAGGGGAGGGGGTCATCAACAATCCTCTTTTTTTTTTCCTCCCTCTTCTTTCTTCCTTCCTCCTCCCCAGATGATGAGAAGGCTGCCGAGCGCGCTGCACACACCAGCCGTGCGTTCGTTTCCTCTCTCAGCCACCAAGTGCCCAAAGCGCCGATCCGCTCCGAGCCGAGCCAAGCCGAGCCGAGCCGCGGCGTGCGTCTGTGCGCCCCCACAAGTATCCCCCCGCCTCCACCGCCACCCCACCCTCGCCTCGCCTCGCCGTGCCGTCTGCGACCGCTGTTTTGTGGCAATGGAGCCGTAACCAGCCTCATCAGCGCGCTGAAGTGAACCGAGCGAGCGAACGGAGACAGCTGAGACCGAGCGGGCATGGAGGAGCAGCGCAGGGAGGCTGGAGTCTAGACAAATCAACACATCCACTTGTCCGGATTACTTTTTTTTGGGGGGGCAGCATTTTTTTTGAACACTCTCATTAGAATTTAAAACCAAGGATTTTCTTTTTTTTTTCTCTTCTGATCATCTGAGGCTCTCACTGCGCTGCGAGGATGCAGGGGAAGGAGGCGAGCGTTTGCACGGGATGCTGGAGACTAACGCTGTTGTCGTGCGTCCTGGTTCTGCACATGATCCCGCTGTCCGTGCACGGTAAGAAACTGGCCCCTTCACTGTGCACTTTAAATCATGCATTGCTTAATTTAAAAAACTCAAAATTTTGCTGGTGCAGCACGGTCGGTCCCCTCTGTGGATCCAGGGTACCTTAACACACTCCCACAGGGCAGCCGGAAAGGAGGTCAGTGAGGCTCGGATTGTAGGTTAGGAAGCACTTCACACTCAACTGAATAGAAAGATGCTTAGGAAAGTAAAAAAAATGAATATAACATAACACCTTAGTGGTTGCTTTCTGCACTGCAAACTGTCAGTAAATCAGATTTCATAGAATTCATCCTTTAGAATCTGGATTTTACGCACAATTTTATCGATATTAGTGCAAATATAATCAAAATATCACATTGTAGGAGACAAACACAGGATGATTAAGGATCATTGTTGAACACTGGGTCTCTGTAGGGGTTTTGTAGAGATGCCACACGAGAAAAAAATGGCATTAAGCAAAATTAGGTCAGCGTAAAGACACAAGTGTACAATCTGAGTCCTTCTGAACAGAATGGAGACACCGGGGGAGGTAACAATGGGGTCAATGTGGACACTGCAACAGAGACACTGTTCAAATATTGTGAGATCCATCTACAAGGTGATGTTATAGAGGTATCCTAGGGTATGAATGTGCAATAAGGTCACAATCAGCTCAGTGTGCACTCACTGTAAGTCACCACACAGCAGAGGGGGGTTAAAATACCGTTTAACTCCCTCCAACGCTGGAGGAATACCGATAGAACAACACAGCGGCATTGTAGGAGCCAATCACAGCAAAATCAGGTCACTAAACCAGCACTTGGAGTACTGCAGTCGCACAATAAGCCACTGCAGGAATATTATTGGAAGAATTTGGAGATTTGTGACAGCGTCCAGTCGATGCAGTAAACCGGATCCCCGGAGGCGCACTGGCACTACAGCGACACAAAGGCGAGGATTAGGGCCGGAGGGGATCTGATGAATAATTCATGAAGGGATCTGAGGAGACATTCTGATACACAGAGAGGAAAAAAGGCAAAGAAAAAAAAAAAAAACACACACACACTAGGGTAAACATTAAAAAAAGACACGGAGGTTCTCTCTCTCTGCTGCTTTCCGTGTCTCTTTGTCTGAGATTCATTGCGCGCGGCGGGCTACATTACTGTCAGATTAATAATGCAGGAGCGTGCACGAGATGAAATCAGTCTGGCGTTATAATCTAATATAATCTGGCTGATTCCTTTCACAGCGCTGGCTGGAGTTCATGCAGCGAGATTGTGAAGGTGAAGTCCAAAAAATATATTGTTTTATTGTGTTTGACTTGGAGCTCCAAAATCAGCCTGGAAGATCTGAACCTCCAACGTTCCCTGTGAGCTGCACACCAGAGCCAGATCCAGTGATTTAAACCAAATTATGTCACTTCATCCAACAACCTTTGCTCCAGTTTTTCCTGCTAATGACATGAATGTGAGTGTTTTGCCTCCCAGAATACTATAGCCTGAAATCTGATGTTAAAGCCCCACTCTGGTCATTGTTTTAACCCCAGAAAACTCCCCCGGTTAAGGAAAAAATAAAAAGTTAAAAAGGTTGGTTGCCCGGAAAAAAAACCCCTCCCGCCCTGAAAAGGCCTAAAAGAAAGGGAAAACGCAACCCCAACCCAACAACCCAACCAAAACCCCGCCCAAAAAACGAAACGGAACCCAAAACAATCGAAAAATAAAAAAAAAACGGGGAAAGGGCCCCCCAGCAAACCGAAAAGAATGCATCCCTAAAGCCGGAAGAAAACCTGGCCGGCAAGAACCGGGGTTTTGGGAACGGCAACAAAAAAACAACAGGGCAAAAAGCCCAAGCAAGGCGGCAACTGCTTATGAAAAAACGCCACACGAACACGTTCACAAGGTAAAAAACTTGTTCTCACCAGAGGTATTCATTAAAAGCTTGTTCAGGCAGCATCGTGCACATGAATATAAGAACATTGTGTGTGAAATATTTGACCTTAGTTCCTTTAAAGTGATGGAATTTGTTCATCTTACCGACGTTAGATCAGATGAGCTGCGCCGCCACAAGGCCAGCAGATGGTTACATGGTGAAAATCCACCCGCCAGCACTTCTGAGGCTCAAAAGTTAACACGTTATGAAAAAAACACATGATAAATTATGGGGTTTATGTGCTGGAACTGTTTCTTGGTCGAGTGCAGTGACTTTGCTGGTTTCCTGACACCCTTAGCATCCAAATTCATGCTTTCCAAGGGATACGCGTGATGTGAACTTCATCGTCCGTCCGAGTCTGCGTGGCTCCACGTCGACTCCTCTGTGGACGTCTGCGTTCATCCCAGAATGTGTGGCTGCACCAACAGTCTGCGCTGCAAACCTGCACGACTGCACATGCTCCAGGAAATCAGATATTAACGCCTAACGCCTGTCAGGAGGAGAATTTTGAGTTCTAAATTCTCCACAAATCCTGTGCCATGTCCACCCACAGAACTCAGAAATATTTGCCTTGACACAGCGCTGCAGCCTCACTGTGCAATTTGCTGCTATATCCTGCAAAAAAAGCACAAAGTCACAGCCTTTCAGAAGCACCTACAGGAGTTCTGTGTGTTTCAGTGTGAAGGGCAGAGTGACCGGCCGAGGCATAGCCATTGTAGTGTGAGTGGAACAATGGGTGCGACTGATATCCACTTTCAAGGTCTGTATCAGTCACAGAAACCAAAATTAAAGGTATTTTATAAAAGTTGCACATTATTATTACTCAAAACTGTAAACTCAAGTGAAAACATTTAATATCAAATATGAAAAAATGATCATTGCCCTCGTTATTGACACTAACTAGCTTTGTCGCGGGTCTTACAATATAGTGCTGACAGTACAAATCGCTTGAAATGAGTGTGTATTATTTGAAGCAAAAAAAAACTGCAGATGGCTGCACTGGAATCATGAGAAATTACCCGACAGCGACGCTGGCAGCTCTGCGAGGCTGGAGGGGCTGCGCTGCTTTGAACTAAATGATGACTAGCACATGTAATGTTTAGTTTAGCATGTTCACCGTTTTATTTAAGAAGAGCCAGAAGAAAAGATCACCAAAGTCGCTGGAATTTGTCCTCTGGGCACGACGATTGTCTGAGAAAAATGGCAGTCGGTGATGTGTTTCAGCCTGAACCGAAGCGAGGCTCTGACATTAGCATCCGTGCAGTTGGCGTGACTAAAACTGTGCTGATAAGATGGAGATTTCTCCAGTTTTTGGAGGTCAGTGTAGGATATTAAGATAATAGAAATGCAGTGTGATCCTCTTAAAACTCAAATTTTGTTGCACAAATAAACCCTTCAGGGACATTTTTTTTGTCACTCTCCATCATTGCCGCGGTGGGGATTTGCTGTCAGCTCAAACTCAGGTGGATGTATTAAAGAGGTTGGCAGATCTGGTGCAGACAACATAAAACAACCTTGGGCTAACCCTCCTCATCCTCCTCCTCCTCCTCCTCCCCTCTACCCATCCAACCACACACACACACCATCGCCACACACACATCTTCTCGCTTCACCGGTGAAGTGAGGAGGCGGCAGCTTGCCCCACATCTGTGAATGATGCTCAGACGACCGAGGCCGACTGCCCCGAACTGACAACAGCCAACCAGAATGCCGTCACTCATTTCCCGTCGGCTTTTTTTTTTTTTTTTCCTCCGGTGGCCATTTGCAATCCTCCTCCGTCTGTGCATTTAACGCTGATGATATGCCTCTCGCCTCCTCCTCTCCTCTTCCTCCCCCTCCCTCCCTCCCTCCCTCCCAGCAGCGGTGAAGGTAGTGGATGTGTGATGGACGGAGCGATGGCGTCCAGTTTCTGCGACGTGCATGTACGCCATCTCTTCTCGTCTTATCCTCTCCCTTCATCTTCCTCCTCCTCCTCCTCCTCCTCTGGCCCGCTGACACATATCTGCTAGTTGACAGATTATCTTTGATGTGCACTGGGTTAATCTTCAAGCCAAATCCTCCCTCCATGACTCCACTAACCCGATTCAGCCTTTTTTTTTTCTTTCTTTCTTCTTCTTTTTATTGCAAAAATAAAACATAAGTAAAACAAAAAAAACAGCAATCATAAAAATTGATTCTGTCTATAGATTATCGGTGAACAATGGCTTTGCACTCTCTCATCCTCCTCCTCCTCCTCCTCCTCCTCCTCTTGGTCTCCATGGAAACCACACACATCCATTGACTCCGGCCGGCGGAACAGTGTGTTCATATCGCCGCCATAATGTGTTCGCGCTTTGAATTTCATTAAGCTCAAAATGTTGGTTGGATTTTTGGCTCACGCTCGCGTTTCTTGCCAAGTCTGGTGGCTCTGCGCCTACTGGCCATGTATGAGGGTGTACGTGTGTGTGTGTGTGTGTGTGTGTCTAAAGCCTCCAGCAATGGGTGTAGTCCATCATTACCAGCTCTAATTTGTAGATGATATCATTATTTGTGCTGGTGTATTCATTATTTCTGCATAATGATTTCATACGCTGCACAGTGTATTTGATTTCCAGCAGATTACTGTTGGCCGTGCAAACATCCCTGCTTTCAATCAAATCAGAACGCCGGAGAGAAGCGGCGACATTGTTCGAGCGCGTTCCTCCTTTAAAGTCACACTCGTGGATCGTTTACAGTTTGCTGCTCTTCGCCTGGTCAGATCCCGTGGTCGGGATTTTTCAAAATCTAACCTTCAAAAGTTGGCGTTTGATGCTTTTGAGTTTTCAGAAAACGAGGCAGGGATGTGTAGAGGAGTCGGGATTGATGCCTGACACGTCTTTAGATTGCCGCAGTTGCACTTAACGTGTCCATTCAGGACAGTAACGAGCCGTCCTGTTAGCAGCGTGGCAGCAAATGGAAACGCTGCAGTGATGTCCATTTTGTTTCCCCTGAATCAGAACAGTGAGTCTGGGATGTGACGTTCAGCGACTCTTTATTCTGCTACGTTTTCTTCAACACGCTCAATAGCTTCTGTCATTAAACCTCCCAAAAGACACAGAAAGCAT